TGAAAGTGTCTGCTAGAAAGTTTTAGATTTGATAACTGCTGTCTCCCTGTTATTCCTCCAGGTTACTCCAATGCAACTTTCCTGAACGACAGCACTGTGACGACCTATCGGGGAAACGGCCACATATTCCGAAACATCACCAGCCTGTCTCTGAACCTCCGCACACGGAAGCGTAATGCAGCCATCCTGCATGCAGAGAAAGGTTCCTCCTTCATCACGGTTTCTGTTCAGGACGGCCTCCTCTTCATGGAGCTCCAGAGCTCCTCTGGGCGCCTCAGCGGCTCGGAGGAGGATCAGGAGGAGAGAAGAGAGGAGAGGGTGTCAACGGTGAGCCTCAGCAGCAGGAGGAGCATCGCGGACGGCGAGTGGCACGCCGTCCATCTGTTCATGACGGCGCCGTGGGCTCAGTCGTCTCGCTGGTCTTTGGTTCTGGATAATGACATAGAGGACGCCAGCCTCTCCAAGAGCCAGGGCAGCAACCTGAACTTCCTCAGGGAAGGGGTGGACGTCTACCTGGGCGGCCTGGCTCCGTTCACTGGCTGGTCCCTGGCCGGCTGTCTGGGAACAGTGGAGCTGGGCGGCATCGCTCTGCCGTACTTCAGCTCCTCAGAGGTGAACCTCCCACGCCTGCAGGTCGAGCAGTTCATCCAAAAGTCCCCGAACCCGGCGCTGCCCGGCTGCAGAGGAGCCTCGGTGTGCGAGCCCAGCCCCTGTCTCAACGGTGGCCAGTGCCAGGACCTGTTCAACACCTACAACTGCACCTGTGCGGAGGGCTGGGCCGGCAGACGCTGCGACGTCCTGGTAGACACCTGCGCTTCGAACCCCTGTCTCCATGGCAACTGTAGCATCAACGGGCTCAGCTACGAGTGCACCTGTGAGGTCGGGTACACGGGTGTGGACTGTGAGGAACAGGTGGATGTGTGCAGGAACCACCTGTGTGCCAATGGAGCCACCTGCCTCCATGGCCCGGATAAATACGCCTGCCTCTGCGCCGAGAACTACACCGGCCCGCTCTGCAGGTGAGTCCAGGGGCTTTTCTGCAGACAGACCACTGCAAAGACACAAATCTGACCAAGTGGTTTTGGTCTAGTTTTAGTGCAAATAGACTTAAAATGAGACAAAACCAGCTCACAAATAGCTTTTAAGCAAGATGTACGAGCTTGTTTTAAGTAAATAATTCCCTAATATTGATTAAAAAAAATACTAACCCCACTGGCATATTATTTCACCTTAACAAGACATGTGAAAAGTGAAACAATCTGCTAGTGGAACTAGAACCTTTTCATCAGTATTAACTTATTAAACTCATATTTCTTGCTGAAGAGTTATTTATAAGTTAGTTTTGTGGGTTTTTTATGTCTATTTGCACAAAAAAATTAGACCAAAAACACTTGGTCAGATTTGTGTCTTTGCAGAGTAGTGCACAGAGTATAGGGCTGGACAATAAGCTAATAATAAAATCTATTGCAATAGACATGATCAATATCAATCGAGAAAAAGTCTGCTCGAACAGTCAATAATTTCTGATCCAGAACCGCACAGCATTCTGGGGGATGTAGGCAGGGGAAAGGCTTTAGTCACTGAACCTCTCATGGTGCTAATCAAGTTTGGTGGCATCAACTAACTCACTCGCTCTCTGGTTACCTAGCAACGACCTGTTGAGGTTTTGCCATGGTGCCTCAGACCTGCTTAACAATAAAAAAACAGCAATGTGGAGTAAAAGTTTAGGATAAAACAGGATATTGGCAGATATTTAAACAAAAAAGAATCAATAATTATCGATTTCAAACCCTTTTATCCTGATACATTTTTCAGCCATATCGTGTTAATACAGGGAAAAACTCTTTAACTTCCACTTTATAAAGAGACGTTTTTCCCCACAATTTTCCCCAAATTGAGTCAAACTAAACATTTCCTGTTTTAAACCAGTTAAAATTCTAAAAGAGCAAATTTTACAGAAGCTTTTAAAATAAGCATTACATTTTTAAATTAACCAATTTGTAATAACAATGTTATTACACATTATGGTATCTGCTTAAAACAAATTCTGGTTTGTTTCCTCTTCTGCTATGGTTTAATTGTACATACATAAAACCACTATTTGAGTTGTAGTATTAAAATACATGTTGGGCATCAGTTTTATTCAGTTTAAGCTTATAAAGCAGGAAATTGTCCCAAATGATTAAAGACACAGTAATCTAAGTGTATGCCAACTTCTGACTTTGGTTAAAGTAATAAAAAATTCTCTACAAAATGTCTTGCTCATTATTTAATATTTAAAACAGACATTATTTGTGTGTCTACTCTAACTGACCTAAAACAAAAACTGTTTTCTTTTTCTTAAAGAAAATGTAACGGGTTTCTTAAAACTGAGTATGTAAACATGTGGTTTCTACTCTATTTTTCCTGGATGCATAAAGCTGAAAAATGTGGATTATCAGATAACAAACAACCTCTCCCTTTTAAGACATTCTCAATGCTCCAAAAGTGTCGTAAAAAACAGAACTAAAACCTTACTTTGCGAGCACAAAATACACAAATAAATGCTCCAAAATCGCACAGCCGAGGGAGCGTACCACAACACAAAAACAAAATCCTTCACTGTAAATGTCTCCATGTCTGCCTCTGTTCAGCACTTCAACCACAGTTGCAGTAAGCGTCTCAGAAGCCGCGTTTCTATTCTAGTGTCAGCCAGAAAAGGCCTCAGTCTCTCTGGTTCGGCGCTAGTTTCTCTCCCTTGTCATCTCCGGTTTGCCTCTGAGAACCAGCGGGGGAACGCCTCCAAACATTTATCCCGTAAACACACAGGCTCCTGCCTTTTTGCCTCTTTTGCACGGGTAAAATCTTTGCAAGTGTCTCGCTAAGAAAGCAGCCAGTGAAGCGATCTCCCTTTACTGGGAACATCTCTGCTGTATAGTTTTCATCAAAATGACTTTGCTTTGTTTTTCTCGCTTGTTTGTGCTGCTTTCTTCCTCCTTTCAATTTTTTCCCCCTTTCTGTTGCTCTGCAGCGAACGCGTGGAAGAACTTCCTTGGTACATCGTTGTCAGAAAAATGTGAGTTTTGTTTTTCTTTATTTATTTCCGCTGCATTCCCAGGTGTTTGTTTCCTGTTAGATATTTGTCTCTCACATGTCATGCACGGCGCATCCTGTTCTTTTGTCGAGTTGTGTGCAACAAAATGCCAAGAAAAGCAAATATTAACACTCCCTCTGACGATGTTTGTTGTCAAAATGAGCCAACCAGTCTTTCAAATGAGTGACAGCTGTTGTTGAAAACATTCCCAGCCATTCAAACAGAAGACTCCCCGAACAAAAATGTACCTTTTCAGAGATAAGTGCCTATTTTTACATCCACTGAGGACTGATTTTCATGTTGCTACTGAAGGTTGTAGAGAGATTGTTTGCTTGCTGATTCCTGCACTTCGGATGTGACAGTTTGCTGGCCAATAATCTCATTTTGATGCGTTTATTTTCTTTTTTTGGGGGGGGAAGCAGCAGGAGGCGAACAAATCATCCAGAATAATGCAGCTTCTGGATTAAATGCAGGAGTCCTGCAAAGTCTTGAAAAGTCTGGAGTTTTCATTTATATATCGCATTTTCCAAACAAGTATTGGAAAATATCGAAAACATTTTGATATTTACACATTTACATAGTCCACATTTTCTTAAAAGATTAACATCATAGTTTCTAAAATGTGTTTAATATTGTTTTGTATTTATAGGTTTGCCTTATTTCTGATGTGCAAAATCACAACTTTACTGGGATTTCAGTAGTCGGTCTGACTCCTAAGATGAATCTGTCGTACAAATGTAAAAAAAAACCAAAAAAACAACGCCTACATTCTGGTATGAGAATAAGATTTTACATTTTAAAGCTGAGCTCAGCTTTGCTTGTCCAGATGGCAAAAATAGGAGCGGACGAGCCATTTACTAACGATTTGTGTTGTTTTATTGTTTCTGAAACTTCTAAGATAAATGTTTCGCATTCAAATATTCAGACTATTCATGAAAATTGTTCTAAAATTGAATGCATTAAATTTATGGACGTTTAAAATGTGCTGAGGCTGTGGAAACATGTGTTTCTCCTCTGGTTTTCCTCTCAGCACGCCCAAGCTGCCTGTTTCTGTGTGTGGTGATGAGCTCAGGAACTACACCTGCTTCAACGGAGGGAACTGCACTGACCGGGAGCTCTCCTGCGACTGTCCTGCAGGATTCATTGGACACAGGTAAGATGGAGTCGCTCCTTTCATTCATCCGTTGTCTTCTGACCATTTGAGATCCCGCATGCAAAAGGTAGAAATGATCCCTTCAGTGAGTTCTGGGTTTGCCCTGCAGTCTTGTGAAAGTGTGGATCATTTTCTGCACAGGAAAAACAACAATAATAAAAGTGATGCAGCAACAAGCAATAAATCAAATAATAAACATGTAAATCTGCAAAATGATCAACAGATGCAAAATAAGCATAATTTAAAAATGTAGAAAAAATTTCAACTTGTAAGACGAGAAGAAACACAAAGGATGTTGTCTTAAAGAGACAGGAAGCAAGCTAAGCTTTCACTGCATTACAGCATCACTGTTTATAAATCTTTCTGCAAAACGAGAAGCAGCATAAAACTTTATTAAAAACTTACAGAAGAGTCCCAAGAAAATAATAAAGTCATTTAACAAAAGCTAAATTTGTAATTAAAAACAAAACAGACCCTAAGAGAGCGCCCTGTGGGACACCGTTAGTAATTTGCTAATTCAAGCAAATTGAGAAATGACTCAAAGAAAGTCTTTCATGTGTTTCATTATGTTTCTTTAATGAAAAGTAAGATTTGGTCATGTAATTTGAAGACCTTGATGAAAAAAGAAATGTTTATTTTCTTCATCTATTCTCTTAGAGATATTACTGTGACTCTTCGTTATAGATAATTGGAAATATACATACATGTGACAGGAAACTGGAAAAAATTGTAAATTATAAATCGATATGAAAGTGACCGAGTGAAACACAGTAAAACCATAAAGTTTCAGCTCAGATATAACGGTGTGTGAATGTCCTGTGGTTTTCCATTACTTGCATAATAAATGAGCTGAATCAGGTAAATATCTGCTGCCAGTCACATTTGAACAGTTGTGTTGCGAAAGAGAGTGTCTCCAAGTCAAACTCGCTCACTGAGGAAAAAAAATAACAGAAACTAAGTCACTAAATTAGCAAAATAAGATCAGGTGGTGTTTGAGAACCAGTCAGGAGTCGGTAGAAGCCAGCAAATTTAACCAAAAAGCACATATGGTGTCTGTTCACAGTTACATTTTCCACTGCCATATAAATACCTGTTAGTGTGCAATTTATAAAGAAAAATGTGTATATAAACATAAGTTGCACACTGTTTTGTGTTGTCGTGTGTCTTTAGGTGCGAGCAGGATGTGGACGAGTGCAAGTCCAACCCGTGTCTGAACGGCGGCTACTGCAGAAACCTGGTCAACAGGTTCGTCTGCGTGTGCGACATGAGCTTCGCTGGAGACGTGTGTCAGACGGACGTAAGCGACATTTACTTTTATGTGGCGATTCTCCTGTGGCAGAACCTCTTCCAGCTGCTGTCCTACCTCATCCTCAGGCTGGACGACGGGCCAGAGGTGGACTGGGGAGCAAACGACTGAGTGTGTATGAGTGAGTGTGGAAGGGCTGTGAATATCTTCGAGACGCTTTAAGAAAATGTCTGCATTTGAATGAGTAACTGTCAGGGATGTCTGGGATGAGAATGGACGTTTATTTTGGCTAGCACCGAGAAAGATTAGGGACGTCTGTGGTTTGATTTCTGGGACTGCAGAGTGATTCTGTGCCTTTCAGATCAGCAGCACTTTATTTATAGTCGGTGCTTACGAAACTTGTTTTGTTTGTCCATGAAAGGATGAGCACATATGTCCTGATTCACAGACTCTGTCTTGCTTCTGCGCCTCCATTTCAGTGTCTAAATCACAAAGCAAGTAGCACTAAAGAGACACTAAAGCTAAAATGCTCATCAGGTTCTTGGTCAGGATGCAGTCGCTCAATAAAGATCTTTACTTTATGTAAGATGGCATCAAATCTTATTCACAGATTTTGACTTAACTGATTTTTCTTTACTACTCTTTGAATGTAATATTCCTTAAACATTAAATTTTATCAAATTTGTCAGAAAATTGTGCACTTATCTGGCAATGTCTTCATAAATTACAAAATTAGTTTGCAACAATTTCAGGTTCTCCTCACTTGTCTTATGAATTGTAAAAAAAAAAATGCAGTACAGTAAATGTGGGCACCATTTCCTCTGCGTGACACCAGACTGCATCGTTGCAGGAGAGAGGCTTTTTGCTGACAGTGCAAATATTCCGTTGCAGACGTTTTGTGAATTAGATGCGAAAGGAGAACAGTGCTTTAGTGAATCAGGGCCTCCGTGTGCAGCTGGATCATTGGCTGATGTTTTTCAGTGTCAGTAATCAGAATGTTGTGAAATTCTTCTAAGTAGACAAATATGAGCAAAGTTTTAAAGAAAAGCATCAAAGGTTTGCACAGCTGGTCCAGTTTGATTTGCAATCTTCAAAAAGTAACGCCAAGCCCAACTTGCTTCCTACGAGATTTCAGGGATCCAGAGACGTCCAAAACTTTTTTCCTTTTGTTGCTCAGGCTTCACCGAGGACAGAGTCCTTTAAAGACGCTGCTGCAGCGGTGAATTTGGTTTTCAGTAACGTACAGCTGTAACGAAAACACGGCTGGGAATGAAGTATGGTTCACTGCAAAAGGATTTAACAAAATCTAATCTTTAAAGGTGGGCAGAACTGAACACAAAACAAAAACACAAATTATTTAGATTTGTGTGTATTTGGGTCGGGAGGCTCAAGTATTGAGATGCTCAGCAGGAATTAATTAATTTTCTACTTTTGAATGTGGAAGTTGATTAAAAACTTGTAAATAAAAAGGGAACAGAAACAAAGACTGTTCTGCTCAGACTTGCTGAACAGAACTGGAAGGTTTGGGTTTGGCGACTAGATTTTAAAGTTTTACAGCAAAACAAAACAAAAAAACCTGACCATAACTTGTTCTGTAAGAGTCAAACTGTGTAATGACCTTCAGTAGGGGGGTAACTTAGAGAAACTAACAAAAGTGACAAAGAATATTTGTTGCATTATTTGAGGACTTTAAATTAGAAATAGTCGTTTACTTTGTTAATGATCACCTTGAACTTTCTGGCAGTCTGTTTCCCGTCTGTCCAATGACGTAAAAGTCTTAAGTTACGATGTAAAGAGAAGCACACCCTGCGTTCAGAAAACACATTTTCAGGGAGGAATGATACAAAATCCCAGTTATTTATACAATTCCCACTACCTGATAAGCTGTCAGTCTCGTCTGAACTTTGGGCTTTGGAAGCTGTATACGGATGGATTTGTGAACTCTGAAAAACAGAGCTGCAGCTACAAAAGCTCCTGCAGGGCCCCGGATGTCTCGCTTGTTCTTGATGTGCGTTCAGAGCGGCTCGTGACTGACTGACTGCTGAGTGTTGTTCTGCACCAAAGACGAAGTTTTCTGCATCTAAACCTTTCTGTCTGAGCCAAAGATATTTTGAGTTACTAAATTCTCGGCGGCTCTGCTTCAGCCGTACGTTTAGAAGTGTTCCTGCGCGGCTGTGGTCAGCGCCGACGCAGACGCTTTTCATGGTAGATTTCATGTGTGCTTTGAATTTTAGGACGTCACGAGGGTGCGAGTGTAATGTCATGTTCGTCAATCATATTCTGTCTGTGTGTCCCGTCTTTATCCATCTTCTGTGTTGTTTAATAAAACAAAATCAAGAAAAATTGTTCTCTGTCCTCTTTTAATGTCTCTTCACTCATTTTTTCTGTAGTTATTTATTTGTCTGCATTTTCAAAACAATCTGCGCTGAACACTAAAATCAGCTCAATGATTTTCTTCCTGTTGGCCATTGTGTGTGTGTGTGTGTGTGTGTGTGTGTGTGTTTACTGTTGTCAGGTGTACACCATGACATCAAAGATAGACAGTTAATCCGTTTTAACAAGATGTTGATCCCAGAATAGCTCGGGTTCAGATGCACGCTGCCGACATGCACAGCACACAGTTAGGAAACAGTTGATCTCTTCTCTGTGTGACGTTACAGCAACAAACTTCAGCGCATTTGATATTTTCTGTGTAAGAACTCAACATAGGAACTGTAGAAAAAATTACATGTGGTTTTCAACACTTTTCTACAAATAATAATCTGAAAAGTGCGCAGTGTACCTATCTTTACCCATAAATCCAGCGCTATAATCGCATGTGTGAGTGATTTAACTAGAAAAAAAGGGTCCACCATAAGAAGTCCTGTTTGCAGTTTGCACAACCGATGGAGAAAACATGAGAGAGAAAAATTACATAATCAGACGGACCAAAAATATAAAGTTATTTGGACATTTTGGTATCTTACAGACCAGAATAATAATAAATAGTATAAATAGCATAAGTACAAATTAACAAAATCAGGCAAAATAAACATTTTTTCAATTTATTTCAAAAGAAAACTTATGAAACTTTAACAAAAACTGCAGGTGTCTGTCTGTCTGGTGAACTTTTGGCTGGAAGGAGTTTGTTCTTCATTCGATGAGTAGAGATATGTAGTGATACTTCATAATAAAACTACTCAAGCAAAAGTAAAAAGTACAGAGTAGTAAAAATACTTCTATTTCTTCCAAGTAAATGTAACTCAGTAAGTGTATGTAGTTACCACAGTCTGTTGGCTGTGAGGATTTGTTTCTTTTGCATACGAAGATGGATGTGGCTAAACTTTGGGACAATCATAACAGAACCCGTTAGTGAAAGTTCTTGTTCCTGCAGGACGACGAGCCTCAACATTCAGCCAGAGGTAAAGTGAAACGGTTCAGATCAAGATCAGGGATGGCCTCAAAGGGCCGCTTGTGGAAGAACCCAAAAACAAAACGTTTTAATCTAAATAAATATCCGTCTTCACTCTTAGAGTTAGATAATATCGAACATCTTTTTACATTGATGTGGATTGGCAGCACATAGATAAAAAAAAAACACTTTGGTTTGACTGATTGAAATAACATTTAAGCACACGACTGTTATCTTGAGGGTTCTGTTTATGAGTTCCTCTGGAGTCTAGAGGGCCACATAAAAAGTTATGGCTGGCCGGATTCGGCCCCAGGGCCTCGGGTTTGACACGTGGTGTAGATTATTGCACATCCATGTGTTAGAATGGCCCAGTCAAAGTCCAGATCTAACACCAATTAAGAATCTGTGAGAAGTGATGAAGCACACATACCAACAGAAGATGAAAAAAAGAATAGAACATTATCTGGGTTTATGCATTGAGTAAAAGAAAACTCAGGAAGCTTGTGGTTGGTTGATGTGCTTCCTGACAAACTTTTAGTGCATTTAGCAAATAGGTAGAGAAATTTTCAGTATTTAAATTGCTATTCACCAATCAGGAGCCAACAAGGTTCCTATATCTGGCTGATTGATTAGTAAACCTGATTAGCACTAGAGAAAATGCTTCTTTAGCACAGTTCACACATTTACAAAATCTATACAGACCTTTTGAGCGTAAAGTGCACCAATAGTGGCACCCATCTCCTTTCAACCTGCAGCCATCATCATGTCGTTGCAACATTTTTTTTTTAAAGTTGAGGCATGTGTGTGTGCGTCTGTGTGTCCTTTGGAGGCACAGGTAGCCCTGACAGTGGGGAAGCAGAGCGGGGAGGAAACGGGGGAAGTGGTTTTTCACTGTTGGCACTGATGTGGCCATCCTTTGAGAGCAAAAGAAGCAGAGAGGAAGAGATGTGCTTTGCCAGCAAAAAAAAGAAAAAAAAAGAGAGAGAGAGAGAGAGAGAGAAAGAAAGAGAGGAGAAAAAGGGAAAAAAGCAGCATCTGGTGCTGAAGTGCAGTTTCAGCAGAGAGCTGGTGGCATTCACAGAAGTTCGGTCTGCTTCACAGAAACGTATGAGGGCAGCTTATCTGGCAGGCACACACACACGCCCACACACACACACACACGCAGAGCAGGTTGATAGTGCTGACAGCAGGGAAGCATCGCTGCCGTCTCTGCTGTGTGCGGAGCAGCTCTGCAGAGGCTTCAGGGTGGCCTCGCTCTGCACCTCAGAGACTGGTTAGTTAGACATCTCTGTGTCTGCGTCTGAGGCACTCGGTGACTGATGGCAGGTCCTGGCTGCAGGCTGCTCCGGCTCGCTTGTGTCACACTCGCTCTGACAGCCAACTGTGCTGCAGTGACAGGTAAGCACTTTCCAAGAGTCAACAAAGAACTTTGTAGCAGGGGGAAGGAAACTCTCATGTCTACGGCGTCAAGCATGAGCGCCAGGGTTATTTTTTGCCTCGGGATACGGATGGTTGTATTTTAAATTAGAATTACAGTATGTTTCCATGTTGATTGCTCAGTGTAAAGTTTGCTGACTTCTGAGATTATTTTTGTGTAACCTGCCAAGTTCAGCAAGAAGCTTTTAGTTGTGAAGATGCTGTCAGCAGGGAATTGAAGTGTTGTGGAGACTTACAGCTGCTAACGCTGTTGTAACCTTGTAGCAGCGACTCAGAGAGTCACAGCAGTGACACCAACCACAACCACTGGTGTAAGTGCTGCTCTGTTTTCTACTGCTGGTTAATGAAAAGCTAATATTTACTCCGCCGCAGCATTTAGGGGCTTTGATTTCCTTAATTCACGGTGATTTCTGTCAGGACTTGTGCTTTTCACTAGGAAAACACAGAATCTTTAAAGTGTTTTTGGTCTGGTTTCTACTGCAAATATATTAGTACACTTGAAATTCAACAAAACTAACTTACAAATAACTTTTAAGCAAGATCTAGGAGCTTGTTTTAAGTTAATATTGAATTAAGAAAATATTAGTGCCACTGGCAAATTATTTCACTTTTAGCAAGACATTTTTTCCCATGTTGTAAGTAATGTGCCAGTCTATCAATATTAAGTTTCCATAGCTCACTGAAAAGTTATTTGTAAGTTAGTTCAAGTTTGCATTTGTAATTGCACTAAAAACTCTTGGTAAGATTTTTTTCCAGTGTTCTCTGCAGAACGTTATCATTTCCAGGTGGTGGTTTGTTGTCTGCAAAGATCAAAGTGCTGCAAAGCTTTAAAAGGCACAAATCATCATTTTGTGTATTTTTCAGTTGTTTCCAAGCTTGTAGCTTGCAATAGTCATTTTTATTCTCAACTCCAGCAGAGAGAAGTATGTAAAACAGCTCAAGAAAGAGAAAAGAGCTACATGTGGAATGCCACTGGTTCATAACCCACGTCTACCTGAGGCAAAAGTAACGATTTCAGTTCATGCAGTGAAGATTTATAAGGTGGTTCGATTCTATAAATACGACAAAATTCAGAGAAATATCGTCAAAGCAATGGCTTTGAGACTCAGCAGACCGGCATCCTACTCTGTCATATATGAGCGTGCCATGATGAGGCCAATCTGCTTGTATTTGGAGGAGAATGATCATTTGTGACAAAAACTTTAATAGAAATATTCTTTAAGATAGACAATGCAATGCTTTATAACATGGAGCCATGCTCAGCCTTCTGGGAAAAAAATATTGGTTACTGGAAATATTATTTAAAGGGCCAGTATTATGTAAAATAATTTATTTTTTTAGCCTTACATCATGTTATAATGTTATTCCCTCATGAAAACCATACCTGGAGTGTTGCTTTGTTTCATTCATGCATGTTTGAGAAATTATTGAATTTCCCATGGCAACCATTCAGATTTGCAAAATGCTTGGTCCCACTGATGGCCGTCTTGTCCAGAAGCTCCTCCTTCCAGCTGCAGCCTGCGGCTGAGTTTCTGCCTCACAGAGGCAAGCCTTCCCCACAGCTCCCTCACTCAGCTCCTTCAGACTAGCCAGCAGGAATTAGCAAACATCTGGTGGAACTGCGCATCTGCTGTGTTTCTGACTGAAAAGTTGGTAATAATGCTGTTAAAGGCATAATTACTTAATGTTGTGATGACATCCTGAAGGAGAGTCTGAAAGAGCAGGAGCTTCTTAAAGAGACAGAGGCAAAAAATTTCAAGGTGTTAAATTGCAAAGTCAATTTTTTAAGGGATATTTAATATATGCAGTATTTTGAAAGTAGCATAGTTACTTGATTGTGTTATAAAATGGCTCTATGTGCCTGGAAAATATATAATACCGCCGCTTTAAAAAGTATTTTGCTGCTTTAGTGGGCGTGCCTCAAAGAGCTACTATGTTTCAGAAAAGGTTATTTTTTACTACTTATCTGGCATGAAAACGAATTAAAGACCAATTGTGATTTGTTTCCTTCATACATTTAGTTTTTTCAGGGTCTCTGGTTCCACAATAAGATGCTCTGTGCCTTTTAGGAGCAGATTTCAGACGAATCAGATTTCGCTTTTATTCCCACTTTAAAGGGCTTTGGTGTTTGTTTGTGGGAGCTATTTTGGGGACAATGGATCGTGGTGCCAGTTCTGATAGGACGGGATCATCAGGCAGCATCTTGGCTGTATGTGTGTATGCGTGTGTGTGTGTGTGTGTGTGTGTTTGTGATCCCTCACAGACGGCGCGTGCTCCACACAGCTCGCGGGTGGCTGCAGTGCTGGCACCGTGTCTGGTCTGCTTGGCGATAGCGGCGATGCTGGGGCTGGCGCTCGTCGCAGCCAAGCTGCGTGAGAGGCGGCAGACGGAGGGAGGTTTCAGGCCGCGGCAGCTCCAGGCTTCTGGTGGTCGCAACCCACCTGCTGTGCTGGGAAACACATCCATCAGCACGCTGGCAGCGCGCGTGGAGCGCCTGGTGTAGTGTGAAGGAGTCAGGGGAGGAAAAAGTGTGAGGGGAGAAAAAAAAATGAGTGTAAGAGCATCCAAAAAAATATGACTTACTTAAATAAATCACATGCGACTCCTCTGTCCCTCCAGCTGACCTCTGAGAGTTTGACCTCCAACCTCTTGCTGTCCATCAGTCTGGCATCTGTCCTCCTGCTTCTGGTGCTGATCCTGACCTCCGTCGGGTTGGTGTCCGCTCTGAATCGACGCGCCACCCACGGCACCTACAGCCCCAGCCGGCAGGAGAAAGACGGATCCCGGGTGGAGATGTGGAGCATCACGCAGCCGCCGCCGATGGAGAGACTCATATGAGATCCAGGTGTTGGATTTGGAGACGAACCTGAGAGAAGCAGTTGGACCAGAACGGATTCACAGCCTGCATGGAAACATTTCACACTGCTGCTGCTTTCATTGAGTGAAACATTTCATGCAAATGACTGAATCCAGGCTCCTGCATGCTGCAGGTCAGCTTTAGGTGCACACACTCTGAATGTATTTCTGTTTAATGTGTTTATTTAAATTCAGAAAATGTTCCTACTTTGTTCTAGGAAATCTTAAGGATTCATGATTTCTTTTCTTCATTTTGTCAGGTTAGAATCACAAATTTCAACTTATTTTACTATTTAATGCAATAAATTGGTTGCATTTTTTTTAAAAGGGTGTCAGAGTAAAAGGGGCACAATACATATGCAGCATACACTTTATTTTCCTTTTAGAGGTATAACAACAATGAGAAACAGTTTTTGTTCTGACTGGAGATGTTAAACTGGTTTTATATTGAACACATCTATGAGATAAATGTATGAGAATACATGCATTAAATAAATACACTTTAATCTCAATGTATTTTATTAGGATTTCTTGTCACTTAATCAAGTTTAGGAGGATCAGAAAACAACTGATGTAGACGCATGCTACACGTTTTAGGAATTTATTTGTAATTTTAGGACCTTTGCATCCGTTTTCCCCTCTTTTTCACATCTGTAAAGATCTAAGCCACTAAAATATACAATGACTAAAATGTATGTGTGATTCTCAATTAGTGCTTCAGCTTTTATTTTTTTAGGGAACAATTTTCTTTAAAGAACTGATTCAAAGTGTAAAAAAACTCAAGTGCTTCAAACAGGCCAATAATTGCTTAAACTTTATTTCTACACTGTATATGCCTATAAATGTTCTTTTAAAAACAGTTTTTTTAAACTTTCTGTTACTTTATTTCTGTGTCAATTGATTAGAATGTTTATTGATTTATTGTCTGTCAAGTGTTAAGATAATAAAAAGCTCATTGTTGTGGCCCAAACTGCCACAAATTATTACATGGATAAGGTGGATGATTATTTAAATGAGATTATTTTTTTAAAAAGAAGAAAAACATGCATTTAAGCAATTTAAATGTTTTCAAAAATGAATTTTAGCATATTTACGCATGCAAAGATCTAAATTTTAACTTTTGTTTTCCTCAACCCCTTCCATTAAATATTAAAGTCAACATTTCAAATCCAAATAAAGACACAAAGGAAGGTGTATGTTCAAAGAAATTCAGTCTGAACACGGCAGAGCATGAAACATTGTTTATTTCCCGTTCACAGTGTGTACATTGTGTGCTGTTGTACCAGGTTACTCATCAGTAGCACATTAGATTGACCTCAGCTGTGACACAGCCACGATGAGCACATGCAAAAGTGCACACCATCAAAAAAATAGAAAAAAAGGTTACAAAAAATAACAAAACAAAACCGAAAACATCATAACCAAAGAGTTAATCCTGATGAAGAGGCCAATCTGAAGAAAGCTGCTGACTGTAACATTCAGCGTGGCGGTCACTACACTGACACTGGCTTCAAATACAGACAGGAAAAATGACGTTAATGTTTGTAAAGCTGCTACATCAGACTCCCCCCTTGCCCCCCCTCACTCCAAACCTGTAATTATAAAACAAAAACTATATAATTACCGTGAGCATTACACAGTGTCATCTTAACCCTGAAATGTAAAATCCGTCTCGGTTTCAGGACCTAACTCACTAAAGCTTTTCAAGTGGGCCTGTCCTCCCACAGCGCGCCCTAATCTGACGCAGAGCGGAACAAGAAAACAGCAGAAATCTGTTTCCCCGACAGGAAAAATGTGCAGCGGGCGACTTCTAATTTAATGTGAAGCACGGAGAGAATTACACAGATTTTATGGAGGCTTTAAATACTGAAATAATATGAGTACCAACAGGACAGATACACGACAGAGTGTACAGTACCAACATGCAGGTTACACAGTGAGCACTGCATCACGTACAAACAACCATCAGCCTCCGTTTCTTCTGGTCAGAAGCCATCACATCCTTCTGCACCGTTATTACAGCTACATGGGACATTTCTTAATGTTCTCCTCGTTTTCCAAAAATAAAATCTCCAACATTCAAAGCTCAGGCGTCATCTCTTTACAATATGCAACACCAATCATAAACGTACATTTCATATATTTAATCCATGTAAAATATATTCAAGCCAGAAAAAATACACATCTATTCAGTTGAAAATAATTTTTTTATCCATATGAAAACAACTAGAGAAACTCCTCTGAAAATTATACATATATTTTAATTCAATCCACTCAAAGGAAGATGTTAAAGTGAAATGAAAAAAAAAATGCACACAAACTATACAAGCAGTTAAGCTATGAGTACAATCAGAGAAAGTATTCACTTTACAAAAGAAGAACAAAAAAAAAAGGTTTTTTTTTATTTTAAATACGAGCAGGAAGATTTCCGAACCCCAACGCAAAAGAGAAAAAAACTAAAACTCACCACAGCCGTGAGAACAAGACACCAGAGTTCATTTTGGGGGATTTCCTGTTGATTAAAACCCAACATGCTCTGTTCCTACCACAATAAAGTTGGTCTAGGAATTAGTGCCATGTTGTGATTACACAGAGGGGTACGTTCTGCATAAGGCACACACTACATCCGTAAAGGTCAACTCACACATGTTAAAAGTTGTTTTGTTTTTTTTTGGACGGATTTCTTTATAAGAGACGGGCTCCTGATCTCAGCATTTCCAATAATCTGAATCCGACTCGACTCCTGATAGCCACTTCTAGCAAACCATGCTGCTGATTTTTAAAACTCAACACCTATTTTCATGTGCACAGTTTGCAAAACAGTTTTAATCTCCAAAACGAAGCGCCTTTCAGCCTTTACAACGACATTCACAGTCAAATAGAGACTGTATTGGATGCTGCTTGTTCCAGTCTGCGTTATGTGCAGCACACAGACATCTGTCAATGTTAAGGAGAACAGCGGAAACACTAGACATTAAAACGAATGTTGTTTTAAGTTTGTAATTCAAGAAAACAACTCTCTGTAAATTTTGTCAACACCACCAAATATGTAACCAGAAAACATGCGCGTTAAACTAGCATGAAAAAGTTGTCAGTATGAGCAAGAAGTGATTTTACTGAAGAGTGTAGCTGTAAGTTTACAAACTCAAATAGGGTTGAAATATGTTTCACATAGTCAAGACAAAGCAAAACAAAGAATAAACTAGCTAACAGTAGCCTAGCACTTCAGCAAACTGTTATGCATTAAAAACAAATCATCAGCAGGAATAAAATGTGAGCCGCATTTAGCAAGTTCAGTCAGAACTGACTTCAGAATCCGCTAGAGTTCTGGTTAAGCAAAGTTGAGACATGCTAGCATTAGCCGAGCACTTCAGGACTTCAGATGAGCGTCTCATCAGCAGGAGCAAGACGTGGCTTTGTCAACTTCTGTAACAGTAACTGTAGTCAGATCTCATCAACAAAGTCCATTTGGGATTGGATAGCTGTCAAATGTATCAATAAATTACTAAATCAGGGTAAACATGCTAGTGTTAGCCTAGCATCTCAGCAAACCGGACCAAGCAATGGCCATCATAAGCAAACATGAGTTCATTGCAGACGCTTAAAAACCGGTTGGATAAAAATAGCCGTTGCCGTCTGGCACATCACTGATGAGTGAGTTATGTTGGACACAATCACAAAACTGATCGAATCGGCATATTTAAGCTTATGTGTGTTATTATTTCAAGACTTATTGGGCTCAGACTCTGTGGCAGCAAATGCCGTAATCTTAAGCTACTGATTACTATCAGGGAGGAAAGTAATTCCTCACTGGGACATTCCCAGTTACCCGAGTGGTGAAGAAAACTGGCCTCTTTTAAGATTTCTAAATATTTGCATAGTACACAAGTTTGTTAAAGTGTTTACAGTGAGCGAGGCCAGTGCAGAAACTGTTCTGGACTTTGTATTTTTCTTTGTCTTTAACCATTCTTGGAATTACCATGACTGATTCTTTTTAGCTTTTTAGAAGCACGCCAAAGACTTTATGGGCAAATCGTTAACGCAGAGCAGCACTCGAGAAGTGGAGAAACAGCCGCTATTAAACTGCCACAGCGACTGGCGTCTGGCATAAATCATAAGAACAACGGACCATAAATGTAGTAATCCCAACCCGAGCGAGCGAAAGCGTTTTCTCTTCCTCTGGGTTTGTGGTGACGCAGAGAACGACACGAAGCCGGGATCCCTGGATGCTGATGCTTCTCTCCACAGGAGAGACGCTTATAAAAATACTTTAGACCCTGAACACATTTCATCCACGCAGCGACCTGCAGTATATTGCTTCATTACAGTACAATCGTCCTCCCCTGCAGTACAGTGCAGAGGGTTTCCTAGTCAGACAGAGGTTGCATTTCCTATTAAAACACAAAGAAAGGAAAAGAGACAAAAAAAAGAAGGAAAAACAAAAGCATGATACCTGTCAACAAGATTCCACACAGTTTAAATTAATCTTTCAAAAACTTCAACACGACATATTCCTGCTATTCATGACCCATTTTGTGGTTGATATCTTCAGAGCGTAAACAGCCTTAAGGCAAAGTGCCACACAGAGGTTAGGGAAAAAGCACAGAGAGGTGGAATAACGGGAACGGAGCTCGTTTTGGACCGACTGTGGGATTGGGTTCATCAACATCCTTCAAAGTTCGCCAACAACTGTTCTCAATTTGTAAAGCCGGCGTTGAGAAACATGCTAAGAGCAGCAAAAGGCCGATGGAAACAGAAACATACAGAAAAATGAAGTAAAAACTCTGGCTTTTCTCAGTCATGCGACTCTTTGCTTCATCAGGTATTTAGTCTTAACAGGTAGGAGTAACATTCGCACAAGAACATCTACTTCTCTGTGAATGTGAACTGCTGTGTTTAGGATTCTGATTAGAAAGTACCTGCAGTGATTTCTAAAGTTTAAGACATCAGTATCAAAACAAATCGCATGTCCGCTTAAGGCATGGTGATCAAAATCACAAATCCAACTGAGTTTAATTAGTTTCAAAGGCCTGCGTGGACATTGTGCATCTTGCTGGTTTTGCAGTTTAGTACAAGGTAGTAACGGGTGATTATCAGAAATTAAGCCATGAGTGCAAATTTTTAGCATGACATTTTTCAGAACACAGAGTTCAACGAAACATGATGTTGTGTTTAGGGGAAACTGGTCCTTTGAAATCCTTGCAAAGTACTGACATCAAATAAATGAAGCTAAAGTGCTGAGTAGAGATGCACCGATCGACCGGCTGGACGTTGGAATCAGCCAATTTTCCAGGCCAAAGACTCAAAAATGAGATTTTTGAGTCTTTAAAATGTAAAATATTTTGCATTTTACATTTTGTTAAATGCAACAAAATGTAAGAACGTCAATGCACTTTTAGTTTATTAAAATCAGATAATGTTTAGTAATATTTGCTTTGAAGCATAACGTAGAATAAGCCATATTTTATAACAATACCTCTATAAAATAACCTGCAGGATGTTTATTTGTCTTTTATGTGTTATGGTCCTCAGAATAACAAAACAACTTCGACAGTTCAGACCTGGAGGAGGATCAGAAATCGGTATCGGCCTGGAAATGGTGATCAGTGCATCTCTAGTGTTCAGATCTTTGCAGACAGATGAAGAAAAAAACTGAACTGAAACTGAGCAGAAATCTCCACCTATTCTCATGCATCTTATTTATTTTATAGATTAAGTTTAAACATTAATATCTAGTAAATGTATGTGCGTTTAAATTTACTTCACCGTTTATCAGTATGTATTCCTGATTTGAATCATAATTGGATGCTTTTTATAATTTCACTCACTCTCCACCATGTTTTTGAGGTATTCTTTATGTAAAATAATTTATTTGACCAAGTTTCTCTTCCAGTAGATGGAGGACAGATGGAGAACTCTGCAGTGCTTCCATTCAGCGCGACCAGCTCTTTGCTCTGAGGCTTTTTGTTTGTTTTGGCCCTTATTAGGTTTGTTCATAACGTTCCCTTATCAGCTGATCAGCTGTAACAGAGGACAGGAACCTGAGTCAGTTTTCCTTTTCCTGTCATCTTTAGGACTTCTCTGTGGCTTTTCCTTGGACCTGATGGTGGCTGTTGCTGCAGTGGACTTGAGAGAGATGCAGGCTGCTGTGAAGCGATGAGCTGAGGCAACACATGGACTCTATCTCCTCCAGCAGGCCCGGGTCCGGCCCTCCAGCCGTCTCCGAGCCTTCACACTGACCCAGACACAGCCCAAAGCCCAGCAGCTTGTCTTTAGGAGTCTCCTTCTCCTCCTTCCTCTCCTCCTCCTCCTCCTCCTTCTTCCAGGGGACCTGGACCTGGCTGCTCTTCGTTGGGCTCGTCTGGCTGTCATGGTTTCCTCTGCTGCGCTGCCTCCGGACCGACCGCTCGTGGAAGTTTTTCACCATCTCTTTGGACATGACCTTTCTCCTCAGGATGCCGGTGGACCCGCTTTGGTTCTGGGTTTGGGAGGGCTCGGAGTTGCACTGAGGGTCTGAGATGGTGCGACTCCGGCTGGTCGGTTCCGGAGAAGAGTCTGGCTGAGCCGCAGGTGAGGATGGGGGTGTAACTTTATGGAGCAGCAGGGGGGAATAGGACAACCGGTGGTCTCCTGGAGGTCGACCCGAAGGCATGAGGTGGGAATCGGGACGGGACTTGGAGGAGAAGAGGGGAGGAGGATCCGACTTGGTGCCGTTGGCATCTAGAGAAGGAGGAGAAGCGGAGCAGGGAGTCACTGCAGAGAAGGCTGCGAGGTTTCCGGACCTCTTCAGGCTGCTCTTGTTGGGCTGCCTGCGTGGGGACGGAGGAAGGTGTTTTCCATGGACGGCGCTGTCATCCTGGCCCATGTTCCATCCGCCGTGATCGGCGCCGCCGTCAAAGCTGCCGTCGTCTGCAGCTGTGGAGTGGCTGCAAGGCGATGGCTTTGACTGGAGGAGGTAAAAAAAAAAAACAGGAATTACAAAAAAGAAAATGCATCTGCACTCTAAGAGTCTGTAAGTTGTGTTTTATATCAGTCACTCCAAATGATGAACCAAACACAGAGCTTATGTTTTGTTAAGACATAAAAATGTAAACTTAAGCAAATAAGAATCATTCCTGGATTTTTACATACATCTATTTTAACAAAACATTTTATCCTCTCCGCGTTTCAACTTCTTTCCTCATGTCCATACAAAACGATTACCTTCCTTCGCAATAAACTAGCAAATACACCCTCATTCATACAGTCACATTGATGACAAATGTCATTTTAAAATTCTACATATGTTCACCTTTAAAGCCTCAATGAAAACATGTTCACTCTTCACTCTTTGGTGCAAAAAATGGTTTAAAATCTATCTACTAAGGTTTGTTTATATAATATCTTCCAGTGAAGATGGGACTCCACATTAAAATGTGTCTTTTTAACCCTTCAGTTAACAGACAAACAAAACTGTCAAATGGCAAAATTACCTTGTGAAAACAACTCAGAAATAGTCAAAACAGTTTGGATGTATTCCTTCTTTCTTGCAGAAAGTTTCTGTCATGTTTATGTTTTGGAGTAGGGATGGAAAGTCCATGTTTGATCTGTTTTGCTCTGTCATTTTGCACATAAGTTTGTGGTGCGTTTAACCAAAAAGAAAATGTTGCAAAACTTTAGATAAGTCACAAACAAGACATCGACATACATGGAAATGGAAAACATAAATTGCAGCAGAAAGACTTTCTGTATTTAAGAACTGACTAAAATACAGAATTGCGCAGGAATGCAAAAGTAAACATTTCCCCCCATGTCCTCTAGGGGGCTCCATAAGTTCTAGTCTTTGTTTTGCATCTTCATTCTCTCACAGACTAACTTAATCTGTCTGGCATACCTGGACCTTGTAGTCATCCAAGTCATCCAGGGACCTAAAGAAGTCCAAGCTCTTGGCAGCACTGAGTTTTCCTTGGTCCGTTGTTGTTGTGGTCAGAGAATCCAGGATTTCCTCCAGCAGGTTCATCTGGCTGGAAGGTGACGGGTCGATGTCCGGATAGAAGGAGTCCGAGTCGTCGCTGTCTTCAGTGTACGAACGGACCTCGCCGCTGTCTTCAGAGGAGATCCTGGATTAAAAAAAAACACAAATAAAAACACTTGGCACAATTATATTTAACGTAATATATTAAAAAGAAGAGATGTGACTAACGCAAGGTTCCTGCACAGTAAATTTTATAAATTAAGAGTTTCCATTCCAGTATAACCACAAAAGGTCAGGATAAATGTCAGCTGTGCAGAATATCAGACATTTTTCAGTGTTTAAATGTCATATGAGGAAAAACCCCAAAGCGTGTCCATAACACGCTTACAGATGTTTGAGCTTTTATAAAAGTAAGGCTTTTCTGTCAGGAGCTGAGAAACAAAATATGTGGTTAGATGAGAAGATAAATGCTAAAATTAGCATCTCAGTGGGAGTTGTGTAAATAAATATTATAAAAATAAATTAATAACTTAACTTTCTATAGTCAGGGTGTTGGTCCACTCTGGTTATTTCAGTGCACAGCCAGTGCTGAAAACTTTGGACCCAGGAAACTGGCCTGACCAAAACCCCACAGTGAGCACTTTTTGAACTGATTTGCTGAAACAAATTACCTTTTGGATTAAATTTACTGAAATGCCCCTGGAGCTGCAGCAGCCCTGCAGCTGTGTCCATCAGATGATGCTGTAAGCAAATGGCTCCACTGGAGGGCAGTATTACCATTAGCAACAGAAACATATGACTTTCTGTCTGGACCAAAGGCAGTCAACTTCTCAATCAGCCAAAGTTGCCTAATCTGGCATCTTTGTTTATACAGAAAAGAAAAATAAAGCGTCGCCTTCAGCTACTTACTTGCTCGCAGTGTCCAACTCATCATCGTCGAGCCCATAGCCAAGATCTCGAGGGCCCACGCTCATGGGAGACTTGTTTAAGTTGTGCTGTTAATGAGAATAACAAAGCAAGCGGATGTGGTTACACACTCAGAATAATATGATCACAACAAAAGTGGACCCGAGGGGATCGGGGGGTCTCGGTTACACTGTAATAATAACAACCAGGGTTCTGCAGAGATGGAGGGATTCATAAGACTACAGAAAAAAAAAAAGTGCGTGTCAGGTGAGTCCCCATAAGAGAGAACAAGGATCTTGTTTTAATGAGTCCAGACCCTGAGGGTTGAGACTAAATTTGTCAAATTTGGATCTGCAGGGGAAAAGAAAGCCCTTTAAGATCCCCTGCAGTAATTTGCCGAGCTCAGCATTACGTATAAGCTAAAAGGCACTTGAGCGCCGCAACACGGGTGACTGCATTGATCATTTGCATTACGGCACCAGCACATGTGATTGTATTTGTCACAGCAGAGAGCTGAGTGATCAGTGTGGAGCGTAGCTGTCTGCCGCGGTGGGTTTAATAAGCCACCTGTGTACCGTGTTTAATGGGCGGGTTAAGGAAGAGACAGAAGCTTTACAGAGCAGGGCAGGACTCCCCCCCCATGGGAGCCCAAATCTGCCCCAGGCCACTTATTAACATGCCTTCCACTACGACGCACATGTTCCTCTCACTATGTGTTCATGTTCACTGATGTTAACACTATCTCTCATCTTCTAATTTACACTCTTTGGTGTTTGCTGCTCACCTTCTGTGTCTGTTTTCTTTTGCTCTAACTGTCCCCCAGTCTGCGGTTCCTTCAGACACAATCAGGAGCTTCAGCTAAGCATCTTTCTAAAGCTGACAGACTTTTCTGTAAAATCAAACTGGATCTAAGTGGAGTTGGAACAAAACGCCATGGTCTGTTTCTCTACTTCTTAAACTGTTCTTTGTAGAAATATAAGGGATAAATCAAACATGATAAATTAAAACAAACTCAATAATTTCCATTTGCATGATTTATTGTTCTTCTCTTTTCTCTCTTTCTACCAAAAACTGGATGACAAAAGTCTTCAGTCTGGTGCTTTGGTCTCGACTAGATCTTTGTTTTTAAAGGACAGTTTAGTTTACACAGACTTCATAATTCATTCTATTCATTGTTTCTGACATTTTGATAAATTGTTTTGGATATTTAAAATGTTTTCCAGCTCCAGTGGTAAATGTTTATTAGACTTTGAAGTGTTCCTGCCTTATTTTGCCACCATCACCACTATCTTACTTGAAAATGGTCTACAAACAACAGTATTATCGTTTATTGCAATAACTTCTGAGACAATTTATCATTCAGGAAAATTTATCACAGGATCAAATCTGACCTCCACTTTGCCTCTGGTGACATCCTATCAGGCAACTCGGAGTCCTTTCGGATCCATTTGTATTGTTTACATTTTTCTCTTTATTCGCATTTTTAATTCAATTTCCATCTTCAAAGGTGTTTAATAACAACTCTAAGATCCTTGGTGATAATTTACAGCCATGTTTTTCTGATACATTATGGTCAAAACGGATCACCGGGCAGCCAGACTTACATTTGTGCCACTGTGCTTCCATTTGTTCTGGCGCATATAAAACATATTCTTCATCCAATCCAAGATGTAGCATGAGCCAAAGCTTTAACTCTTCACTTTTCAATTTCAGACTCTTTGTCCACTTCAGCTGGATTACATGATTTAGACAAAATTAACTCTTGTTTAGCTGCTTTGTCAAAAACTAAGATGGTTACTGAAATTAATCATTTCTTCTCCTGGTTTTCCTCCTTACATGTCAAAAGAGAAAATTCAAAAGACTAAAGTTTCTTTACTGATGCCAGCTGACCGGCTTCTTTCTTCTGCCCCTTGTGATGTCATCAACCCAAATTCACATAAAGCACAATTAGCGACTTATTTCTTGTTTTCAAAATGTAATTTTATAGAATCTTGCCACACTTCAGCACCTACATGTGGTTTTATTGTCAGTGCATTTTGTTAATAAGGATTATACACACCACTGGTTGGGTATCTTTAAGAGCACTTAGCTCCACCTCCATGTTTTTTTTCATGCACTGTTACTCTGGAAGCGTCAAATACACAATAATGAAACTCCTCAGACAGAAAATGACTCCAGCTCGAGGTGAAAAGGTAAAGAAAAGCAGTCAAAGGCAACCGAACATGTGACCAGCAAACAGGGCGATGAATGGAAAGTGGAGAGAAGGAAACATAGGAAGGTGAGGAAGAACTTTGTATGAATTGATGGGAATGGTGTGTGTATGGATGAATGAATGTGTGTGTGTGTGTGTGTAGAGGCGAGTTTCAGGGGGAGAGTAACTGCGAATCAAGCTGGTCCTGATTAGTGGCACCAGTGCCAGCCAGACAGGCGGAATGTAACGTGTGGCTGCGCTGCCCTCATTTAGGGCCCGTGTTCGGCCATGAGAGACGCGCACGCCAACACGCACACTCCATCACATCCGCACCCTATTACCAAAAAAACACAAAGAGTTAAAGTGCCACTTTCTCCATAAAAGTCAGTGGAGGAGATGTGTGCAGTAGCCACTTAAGCCTCTCAGCCATCAGGCTAAACATGAACACATGTGGCGGCACCGCTGATTGGCCGAGCCGCTCCTCTTCCATGGTAGCTTGGAGCTATAATGAAAGAGATTTCAGAGGGGCTCAGGCCTGGGATCCCTAAACAGCCTTTAATGGGTTCCTGTGTCAGAGCCGTAAATCTGGGGCCCGGGCCGACACGCCAGCCAGCCGTGGCAGGCCGGCCGGCCGGCGGAGCGGAGATGCACCTGTGAGACAGCGGGGACGAGTCCGCTTCAGACAGAAACATGACAGTTACATGTGTCGTGTGATCGGAGTGCAAACTGTTTGTTTCAACCCCCACTCCCCGGCCCTCCTCTGCATTTAGGTGTTTATTAAAGCAAGGTGAACCCAAACACCAGCAGACACAGGTCACGACGCCTGGCTCTCTGATCTCGGTTACAGCTCTGGTGCCGTCTGCCTGACAGGAAGTTCCACGGGGAGCCGTAAACGGATGGGACCTCACTTCCCGGCTTTATCAATTTGTCATTCCCGCTCTTCATCGTGACCCTGTGGTGCGACATTTAAGATTAAACTGCTGCAACAACAAAGCATTTTACGACTGAAGCGCCACCAGCTGGTTTAGATCATTTGCTTTCTTTAAAAAAAAACAACAAAAAAAAAACATGGTGGATTCATGTTGGAAAAACCCACAAGGGGACCTGCGACAGAAGCTGATTCACAATAAGTCAACAACAACAATAACAAAAACATGCAGACGTTCACAATAAGAGCTTCTCCCTCCGCTGAAGCCATGACAGCTCTGTCACCATCCCACTTCTCCCCAGGCCTGACAGGGCAGTGGAGAGCACGAAATAGGAGAACAACAGATTATCATACTGCTCCTTCATTAGTTCCTCGCTGTCGGCTAATGGGAAGCTGAAAGGTGAAAATGAAAAAGCGATTCCCGCTCCATGCCTCCCTGTCTCTCATTTTCTCCCTCCGTCACTCTGCTGCCACTGACAGATGTCACCGTTTCCGTCTGTCTGTCTGGCTCTTGGTTCCTTCGTCTGCGCCGCGTTGCCACAAGTAAAGACCGAACACAGTCAGAGCTCAGGCAGTGAAGGAGTCAGGGGGGAAGCAGGAGAAGCAAAAAAAAAAAAAAAAAAAAAAAAAAAAAACCAGAAACGCTACAGTTATTTCAGTAACTCAATTCGGTTTTTCTGAATATGCAGAGAAGACTGCTATGTTTATTTAATATGGAAAAGATCTGAAATGTTTGCTTCTTTATCAATGTACAGAAGGTTAATTCTTTTCCTGTTTGTATCCATTTTTAATTATTTTGACCTTTAACAGAAGCATAAAAAAATACCAAAATATTACAAGTAGAGAAACAGTGATTATGCTCCTCTGAGGATATACCAGATTACCTGCTGACTGAGATTTTTTTCCTATAGGCTATAAAATATTGAGAAAAAAACCTGCAGCAAATACATTGACAGAGGTAGTTTTGAATCCAACTGCACATGAAAGAAGTGTGTGATTATCCCCATTAATCCATCAAAGTCCGGGTCCCCTAGTCATAATAAATATTTAGACTATGACAGCTGCACACATCGGTCTTTTACAACCACATCTGATTCACAATTAAATGGAGCGAGCTTTGAATCTAAAAGAAACACTTTGCTCAAAAGAGTTTGCATGTTTCATTCCAAGAGAAAATGGGGAATTTAATACCTCACTTTATACCTCAATGTCTCGGATTTATTACTAAAAGTACCAGTTGTGTATTGGTGTCTTTTTGTTTTAAGATGTGGAGATGTTAGTGGCCTTTATTCACAGGATTTAAACAGGGAGACATGCAACCTGGAAGGACAGAAACCCTCTGTACTGCTATGCCACACGCTAAGCCAGGATGCCTTTAAACAGAAGCTGATGGGAAAACTTAGTCTTGATGCTTTATAATAAAAATGCATTTCTTTGATCATTTGAAATAGAAATATTCTTTGTTGCTCCTTTGTGGGGAAACTCATTACCAGCAGAAAAGTGTGAGGCAAAAGGATGGAGATTCACAGAAAGGGTGAAAATATAACATCAATCATAAAAACAAATGAGATTCTAAAGCAAGGGCAAATTCACAACAGAAGATAAAATATTGTATGGCATAATCAACACATAATGTTTTAGTATTTCACCTTCACAACACTGACTGATCAAGGGAATATTGTCATCTCTGGCCTTTAACTTGTAGGTCTTTATCAATGCTTGTGAGCAGACTACGCCTGATAATTGAAATAGATCAATACAAAAGAAAAAAAATCACATCAAAGAGGCATTTTTTATTCAACAGATGCCCTGACCAGACTCTTTTAGACCAATTTTCATGAGCCTTTGAGGTCAGATCTGCTGATTTTTAAGCAATTATGAATTTTCTATGGATTTAAACAGGGCTAAAAAAATGTGCTGCAGGTCAAAATGTTAAGGTGGCTTTGAACTCAACAAAAAATGACGTAATT